CAAAATGAACGGCCCCTCGGCCTCAGCGTGATCATCTATCTCAAGATCGGCTTCCTCAATGCCGAGAGTCTTGAGCTTGTATGACGATCGGCTTCATCATCGTCGTCATCCTCAGATCACGAACGGCTCCTCGGCCTTGGCTTGATCCTTTATCTCAAGACCGGCATCCTCAGCACCGAGAGCCTTGAGATTACATGACGAACGGCTTCATCAAATTCCTCGTCATCATTTATTTAGACCGGCTTCATCATCACCGTCATCCTCAAACCACGCCCGATCCCTCGGCCTCGGCGTGATTATTTTTCTCAAGGCCGGACTCCTCAACGCCGAGAGCCTTGAGTTTACACGGCGAAGTGCTTCATCAACGCCTTCGTCATCAAGGGACGTGCGTCCAGTGCCGCCCTTCATCTTCAAGCCGAGGTCAAAACCCGGTCCTTCATATGACGAACGGCTTCATCAACGATGTTGTCATCAAAGGACGCGCATCCAGTATCGTCTCTCATATGACGAACGACTTCACCAGCGCCGTTGTCATAAGGGGACGGGCGTTCATCGTCCTCAAAGGGAACGGCCCCTCGGCCTCAGCATGATCATCTATCTCAAGACTGGCATCCTCAGCGCCGAGAGCCTTGAGCTTACATGACGAATGGCTTCATCAATGCCTCGTCATCATTTATTTAGACCAGCGTCATGATCGCCGTCATCCTCAAACCACGCCCGGTCCCTCGGCCTCGGCGTGATTTTTTATCTCAAGGTCGGCCTCCTCAGCGCTGAGAGCCTTGAGTTTACACGGCGAAGTGCTTCATCAACGCCTTCACCATCAAGGGACGTGCGTCCAACACCGTCCTCATCCTCAGACGGCGTCAAAGCCTGGTCCTTCATATAACGTATGGCTTCATCAACGCCGTCGCCATCAAAGGACGTGCGTCCAACGTCATCTTCCATGTGACGAACGGCTTCACCAGCGCCGTCGTCATAAGGGGACGGGCGTCCAACGCCGTCCTTCATCTTCAGGCATCCAACGCCATCCTTCATCAAAGGACGGGCTTCATCAACGCCGTCCTTCATCTTCAGACCGACGTCAAAGCCTGGTCCTTCATATGACGTGCGTCCAGCGCCACCCTTCATCTTCAAGCCAGGGTCAGAGCCTGGTCCTTCATATGATGGGCGGATTCATCAACGCCGTTTTCATCAAAGGACGTGCGTCCAACGTCGTCTTTCATATGACGAACGGCTTCACCAGCACCATCGTCATCAGGGGACGAGCGCCCAGCGCCGTCCCCCATCTTCAGGCGAGCGCCCAGCGCCGTCCCTCATCTTGACACGAGCACCTAGCGCCATCCTTCATCTTCAGGCGAGCGCCCAGCGCCGTCCCTCATCTTCAGACGAGCGCCCAGCGCCGTCCCTCATCTTCAGACGAGCGCCTAGTGCCTTCCCTCACATTCAGACGAGCGCCCAGCGCCGTCCCTCATCATCAGAACGGCTTCGCCAACGTCATGTTCAGTCTGGTGTCAACGCCTTGCCCTTCACCACATCACGACCGGCCCCTCGGACAAGGCGTGATTATCTATCTCAAGACCGGCCTTCTCAGCGCCGAGGGTCTTGAGCTAGCAAGCGGGATCGCCATTCCCTTCCTGGATGGCGACCCTCACCTTCATGTGATGAGCGGCTTCATCAACACCCTCGTCCTCAGTTCACGGCAAACCCCTCGGTCTCAACGTGATCCTTCATCTCAAGGCCGGCCTCCTCAGCGCCGAGTGTCTTGAGCTAACGATCGGGCTCTCCATCTCTTCCGTTTCCGTTTCCGTTTCCATCCCGGTGCTACTTAGGTCCGCCACCGTTTTGCTCTCGGCGTCTCAGAATCACCCGAACCCCTTTGCCATCATGGGGAAACCCTGAAGTCGTTGCGGCGGAACTGCCTCGCAACATTGAAACCGAAATAAAGTGATGACCACGAGCAGCCAAAACATCACTGGAAAAGAACCCGCCATAGCCCTCCCTTTTTCCCGGCCTGCTCCAAGTCTTTGTTATTTTTTGAAAGTAGAGTCTAAGAGTCTTTGTTTTGTTTACTGAATTTTTAATTCCTACTCGTATTGTTTAGCCTTGTTCTATATACGGAGTATTGAGGAAGACGCGGCTATTATCTTTTACAAAATTGATTACCTCATACATGACAAAATACTCGTTACATAATATATTACGCATATGTTTGTGTTGTTACCTAAGGATGTTTTTACTTGGACTGTAATTCCTCCCAGACCAGACTAGACCAGTTCAGACCAGACCAAACTTGGATAGTTATAAAAATACAAAAAAACCAGACCAGACTAGACCAGTTCAGACCAGACCAAACTAGACCAGTAAATTACAGTCCAACTAAAAACATCCTAATACGATTATTAGGTAATAGTATTCCATTACATAATATACTTCGTACGTATCACGTATACGTTTGTTTTACATTTTTGCATTACTTTATTAATTAAATTCGATTTTTTAAATTTAATTTAAAATTTTTCCACACAAAAATTAATTTAGAAGTATCCGTTTTCTACTATGCATTTTTTGAGTTTTTTACTAGGAGCTTTTTCTTTACACTCAGATCTATTGTTTTATACAGAAAAATTTAGTTTAAAATCATTGATGTATAAGTCTTTTATTGATCATAAATATGCCATTATCACTATTAATAAAACATTGAAATAATTCAAGTTGAATAGATGGATTACACAATGTTGCATATATAAAAATATAAAAATATTATCTACTCCCTTTGGTCACATAAGCTAAGATTCATCTTTAATTTCCTTTTGATACGTTCCACTAGATTGTCTCATACCAAATTTGATAAATTGTACGGTTCAACTTGAATTATTTGACAGGTATTGACAGGTATGATGAGTTTTTCTTTAACAATATGCATATGATATCATTGAGCAAGGTTTGTCACGCCCGAGACTACGTCTGTGTCAGGTGTGTAGGAGTAACTACTTCAGGTCCTGCAGGCTCGGGGTGTTACAAGTGGTATCAGAGTAACCCTGCGACAGTGTGCTGATCCGTCGGATATCGGGCGGATCGGACACTTAGCGGGGCAAGATTCTGGGGTTTAATTGAGAATGGTTTAAGGGCGCAACAGGGATGTTGCGATCCTAAGTGGGGATGATTGTAATACTCGAGATTAATTTAAATGGATTAATAGTACTACGCATACCAACAAAGGTGCATCTCCTTTTAAGGGAGCTCATCAGCTAAGAACTCCAAAGTTAAGCGTGCTTGTACGGGGTAGTCTTGTGATGGGTGACCCCCTGGGAAGTTTCTCAGGGCGCGCATGAGTGAGGACAAAGTGTGCGGTAAAAGCTCGTGGTGGTTTGTGAAGACAATACTTGAGGTCTAGAGGGTGTGTAGGAGTAACTACCTCGATTTCTACAGGCTCGGGGTGTTACACACATCTTCTGTGAGATGATCATCCGAACAATGGTGCAAAAAGCGGACTCTAGTCTTGACCTGGAAAATGGTGAGGGCCTCCAAAGGGGTCACAATACTCCAAGGATGGAGGTGCCCCCTTCATGGTACGAATAAAAAGGTCATATACAGATATACTACTGGGTCTGATGAAGGAGATCACGAAGTGGCGGAACAGGGTCACGAGACTTGCTATTATTGGCGAAGTTAGCAAATTGAGGGCCTAACCCTCGTAGAAACCAGTAACTCTTATTAGATTCCTCAACGGCACGCCCAATTGCGGCAGCCAAATTGTTGTAGAGATTCTCGAATTGGCGGACATAATCGGCCACTGTCATAGACCCGCGACGGAGAGACATCAGTTCATCATGAAGTTGATTTGCGCGTGAGGTCGGCGATGGAGAGAAAATGTTCTCTAACGCAACCCAAGCAGCACACGAGGTTGTGCAGTCGACAACCTCAGTCATGGCTTCCTCTGTTAGGGTGGAAAATAGAACACCCAAAATCTTCTGGTTTGTGATGTGCCATGTTGTGTATGCCAGGTTGGGGCTTTCAATAGAGTTGGTGGTGAAGGTTGGAGAAGGCGCATAGATAGGACCATCAACATATCCGATGAGGTCAAACATTGTAAGCATAGGAAGACTTGACTTTTCCATAACAAGAAATTGGTGGAAGAGAGCTTGATAGTCACCATGTGAGCCATGTCGGGGATGGGAGCAGATGAAGGGGACTGGTTCGTCCGATGATAGGATAAGCGGCTAAACAGGGAAGATACGGTGGATGGTTGATATCATGTAAGCCATGTTGGGGATGGGAGCAGACGAAGGGGACTGGTTCGTCTGGGAAGAAAAGGACGAAGGGGGCTGGTTCGTCTGGGAAGAAAAGGACGAAGGGGACTGGTTCGTCCGATGATAGGATAAGCAGCTAAACAGGGGAGATACGGTGGATGGCTGATGCCATGTCAGAATCGTATTTTATTCACACTAAATAAAGAGGAGAATTGATACTGTATAAATAGTACAATTTGTACAGGAATAAAAGGAAAGTAAACCAAGTACATAATGTCTTAAAGAATATACAAGGAAACATATATTAGCCATTTAATTCTCATTTAACACTATTACATTCCCATTGGAAACATGAAAATGATGTTGAAGTAACCAGACATCAAGTCTTTTTGTCCTTGAAAACTTATAAAACTAAATAAAGACAATACTAAATAATGAAAGCTAAATTGAAAGAGCCCTCCGTCCCGAAATAAATATTCTACTTTGACCTTCACACAGATTAAGAAAATGAAGTTGTCTTCACACTGCAGCGACACTGTTTGGAACTGTAGTGACACTATTTGGCACTGTAGCGACACTGTTTGACACTGTTTTGCACTGTTTGACATTGTTCTGTATAGATTTGTTTACCAAATTATGAAAGTTTCAAAGTAGGACAATTATTTCGGGACGGACCGAAAAAGAAAGCAGGACAATTATTTCGGAACGGAGGGAGTAAGATTTAAGCGAGAAAAGGAAAACTTGTTACCAACAGAATCTCATAGAGTAGATAAAATTATATGTAGTACTTGTACATGTAAGAGATGTTCCCATATACAATACATGATCGACAAACAGGAGGATCAGAATGGCAAACCGTAAAACATATAAATACTGTATTAATTATTAATTATTATATATATAGCCGGATATATATATATATAATAAGTTTATTATAGGTAGAAGTTTGATTTTGGCTAAATATTTTGGGACGGAGGTAGTAGTAATTTATTTGTGGGGCGTGTACAGTAGTATCATAGTAGTACGCATATAGGCTTAGGTACGGTACGAATGTGCGCACCCGCACGCAATGAGTAATTATGATATGGGCTGGGCTGGACGCATGTACCGTTTGTCTCGAAGGAAACAGTGTTCCAAACCAGATCAAAGGTCACCTGCATATTCTGCTGCATACTATTCCCCAAAATTCCAGGGGAACCCGTCGTTTGATTGCGAATTAACAAGCATGTCACCGGATGATTTGAGGCGATGGAGAGGTCGTAGATCCAGCTGTTGTGGGGGAGGGTCAGCACCTGCTCGTTGCCGAAATCCAAGGACAGGCTCGGGAGGGACGGATTTATTTTGCCGTTGTAACAGGGTACGCCTAGACGAGCTGTCAGATCCGTGTGCTCTTCAAGTCCGGGGTGGAACCCTACCGCTTCTGTGAGCTCGATGTAAGCTTTCGAAGGCAGGTACATGGCCGTGGTGCCGGTGTCGATAATCATCTCCTCCCCTGCATCTCCCACTAGTTTCCCCCCGAGGTATATCCCCTGAACGTCCACATTATAAGACGCCGACATTGACGGATCTGGGGTAGGTAGAAGATTGGCTGTAATTTTGCTTCCACCCGCTCCGCCGCCGCCCAGTGTAAGCATGCCGGTTGAATCGCTTTCCAAGGCGGGTAAGCAATACGAGAATTCGGAGACATTGAACTGGGAAACCAACGACGTCCAGCCTCCGCGGGCGAGACCGGCCACCCCGTAGTTATTCGTAAATGTCTCACTCGAATCCTTCTTGTGGGCCGAGACGAACTTCACGTTCTGGACCGGGACACCGTCAAATTTAAAGTTGTCTGTGCAAACATCGCCCGAGATCATCTTCGACCCGATGCCGTAAGAGATAGAGTAGGTGCATTTTCCATGAGATGTGCACGGCTCTGAGTATATCTGGAAAGAGCTAGAGATAGAGGAATTAGTGTAAAGGCTATTGATCCAGGTTACATCATTGCCCGTGTCCATAACCAAGCTCACTCGCTGCCCTGGAGTTCCGACCACTACATCAATCACGAACTCGCCGGAGCCATGCCAATCGGATCTTACGCTGGAACTCAGGGCTGCAGCTGGTGTTATTGATGAATGTGACGATCCTAGGAGACGACTGAGCCTCTCAGTGTCGCGGTTTATGGCACGTTGCACACGCTCCACCCTCGTCAAGTTTTGTCCGCCGCCGCCGTGATCTCGGCGTCTCAGACCAAAGCCGACCCCTTCGGCGGCGGACCCCGTTGGTGTTGCGGCGGCGTAATTCACCCCCAATGTTGAAGCCCAATTAACACCGATGATCACCGTTAGCCACAGCATCACAGCTGGAAAAGAAGAAGCCATTTCAATTCCCTCAAGCTCCCCGTTAATTCTGCCCTCGATGGATGAGCCTTATTTACGGATTTCTTTTTATTGCTCAAAATTTCTTAGTGACAAACTTTCGTCACACGGTAGTGGACCGAGAATTTCACTGTAGAGGGGTGAGAACTAAAACGTATAAATAGACATAAAATGTTTGATCTATTCATTTTTCTCCACACTTTTTATACATTCATCTGTCTCACGCATACACAATTATTTATCCACGATTGTCTGTGAATACACAATTGTGTGTGCGTATGACAGACAAATGTACAAAAATTATATATATAAATGTGTACATCTAGCACAACTCTAAATAGACAATCAAATTTTTATTAAACTTCTAAAAATATATTGTTACTGTGTAATTTATTTTTAATTTACATGTAAAAATAATGCAATGTTTTATAAAAATCATGCAAAGTATTTCACCATCCTCTCCTCACGTAAAATACTTTTTCGTTCTTTTTTAATTGCAATATTCCACTTTTCACGTTTGCCAACGCACAATTTTGATCATTAATATCTTTCATTTCTTATTAATAAAAAAATTAAAAAATTCAGATTTTGAAAATTTAAAATGAGAGGAGTTCAAAAATATTTTTTAAAATTTTAATTTATAATACATCAAAAAAATTATACTCAAAGTAGAATATGTAAATTGTGCAAAAGTCCAATATTGCAACTAAAAGATAACAGTGGAGTACTTTATATGGTATACTGAATTTTGAATTTCTACTCGTATTGTTTAGCTTCTTTCTATATATTGATCGAGGAGGACGCGGCTATTAACTATTACAAAATTGATTAACTCATACCACTAGTGTAAAAAACACTTTCTATATGAGTTAAAAAATACTTTTTATGTCTTACCTAATAAAATTGATTACATCATACATGACGTAATAATATTCCATTACATAATATACTCCGTACGTATCACGTATACGTTTGTTTTACATTTTTTATTGCTTTATTAATTAAATTCCATTTTTTAAATTTAATTTATAAGTTTTCCACAAAAAAATGAATTTAGAAGTTTTCGTTTTCTACTATGCGTTTTTTAAGTTTTTTACTAGGAGCTTTTTCTTTACTTTCAGATAAGTTTTATATAGAAAAAATAAGTTTAAAATCATTGATGCATCCATCTTTTATTGATCATCAATATGTCATTATCACTATTACTAAAACATTCAAATAATCCAAGTTGAATAGATGGATTACACTATGTTGCATGTACAAAAATACAAAAATATTATCTACTCTCTTTCGTCACTTAAGCAAAGATTCATCTTTCCTTTTTTATCCGTTCCACTAGATTGTCTCATATCAAATTTGATAAAATTGTACGATTCTAAATCATTTTTAATTTGTTCTTACTTTAACAACTCAACATCAATCACATAAATTCATTTTTACTAATAACCGCACAACCTCCACATGTCTCAATGTTAGTGAGATGGAGGAAGTATTATTTTATATAGTAATGTTGAGTCAAAAAATCAATAATGTGTCATTCTCTTATCGGTTCATAAAAGTTCTATTATTACTACCAATAAAATATTTAATTAATTCAAGTTGACTTCGTTCATCATCGCTATTCACTTCGTGCACCACTATTCATTTGAACAAATGGAATTGCACGAGAAAAACTTTTTAAAGTGGTGTTGGGATATTGGGCCGAAGGCCCAAATACCCGGCCCATTAGTCAGCAAGGGTCCAGACGAAGGACATGCCCAGTAAAACCTTTATACCGAATGGGATCCAGGAATCCATGAGAGATTATATCCTGAACGGGGATCGGATTAAGCAGTATACTTGGATTAGATTACTGATGATATCAGCATGGGGCATTGTTCCGATGTTCGAACGGTCAACCTGCAAGTGGCAAGGAGCATGATGGAGTATATGGCCCGGGAACCCCCGGCCCACAGACTCCTACTACTCCAGTGAAGGCCCAAAAGGCCCAAAAGGCCCAACAGGCCCAAATCACAGCGCCCAGAGTACCGGGCAGTCCGCACTACGCGCCAGGGGTGCCTTCGGCCCCCTGGCCGAAGGCTCCAAATTCTCACATAACGGGTTTCTCAAGCAAATTAAGAAACTGGGAGAAAACGGCGAAAACAGTAGCCCTCGGCACTGTGAGCCCTCGGCACCAGGGTGCCATCGGTTGGAAGAGCCCTCGGCTACTGCTCTATAGCCGAAGGCATCTCACTCGACAAGATATCCGCCTCACATGCGTACAGATCACCGTACCCCACATAGACGTCCCATCCAACAGCCGCATTAAATGCGGCCACATGCGGCTGCCAGCGCCAACCAGTTGAGGTGATCCCTCGGCCAATGAGCGCTTGACACGTGTCCCTGCCCGGCATTTATTGCTACTATAAATAGCACCCCATTTCCTCATTTGTAACCACGCTGAAAACGGCATTCATACTGAATACACTCTCTCTCTACTTTTACTTACTTGCTCTGACTTCTCTCTAAGTTATTCCCCGTAATAACCCTTCGGATATATACCCCCGGGTAGACTATCCATCATTTGGTGCTCTCGTTGAGAGGTTGAACAATCGAGTAAGAAACCCTCCCCCTCGACCAAACACAAAACACTAGCCCTCTATCATAATGGTGAGGACAACACGTGCCAACTCAAAGAACGTAGAAGACAAGAACCTGGCCCTCGGCGACGTCAACGCCCCCGAAGCCTCTCACAGGGCTCCCGAGGGCGGTGTCATCGCTGGGCTGGAACAGGCGGCTGTCGACCTACGCCTTCAGATCCAACAAAATGCCCCCGATGCCCGCCTCGGCATCGAGTTCAAGAAGAAAAACCAGAGCGATAACCAAGTCAGCCCTCCGGTTCTCACCATCGACGTACAATCGGCGCTCTCCGCCTTCATCCAGACGCTCACCCAGAACCCGGGTGCCTTCGGCACCCTGGCTCCAGCTCACCCTCAGACCGGGGAAAATATCATACTTCCCCCTCTGCCACACCCCTTCGGAAATCCCACCCCTCGAGTGAGAAACGACGAAGGGGTGGTGGCCCAAGATACGTCCTCCCAGGAAGTTCAGTCCCAGGACCGCCATAATGACAACAGGGAAAGGCCCCGTACTTCCGCCCTCAACCGGCTCGGAGGAGGGCCAGACCGCCGAGGGGTCCAAGACCGCCTCGGGGGGAAAGCACTCCAAAGGCCCCAGGAAAGCGGGGGATCTGTTTCGAGGGCAGACGAGGAGCGTCCCCCTCGGGACAAAGGCAAGGCACCCCTTCATGCCGATGATGCTCGGCACCAAATCAACCAGGCCCACTCGGCCCGGGTTCGTTCGCAGGGGGCGGAGACCCTCCCGAAGGATCCCCGGGACGAGATTATTGCGGCCCTCCAACGCCAGCTTGACGAGATGGAGTCCAACAAAGCTCACGCCACCACCTCCACCCCTCATTCAGATCTCAAATACGAGGCCATGATGGCCAAAATGGAGGAGTTACAGAAGAGGGTGGCCGAGGGCTCCGGGGAACCCGTCATCCAGCTCCGGACTCGGACGCCATTTACCCCAAGGGTATTGGCGGCCCGGATCCCGGAAAAATACCGAGGGCAACACATACAGCCCTACAACGGGAAAACGGACCCCCAGGAACACTACAGCAAATACCAGAACAGCATGATGATGGTGGTGGCGTCAGACGAATATTTGTGTCGATGGTTCCTCTCCACCTTAGAGGGACCGGCATACGAATGGTTCAACAGGCTGCCCGAGGGCTGCATTGATTCGTGGCAAGAACTCGCCCAACGATTCTTGACACAATTCGCCGGGAGGCGTCGCACAAGGAAACACTTCTCCCACCTCCTAACAATACGCCAGAAGAAGGATGAGACCCTCCGGGATTTCCTGGAGCGATGGAGGACGGAGGCCGACAAGGTCGACGGTGCTGATGACGGGACCCTCCTGGCCCTCCTACAAACCGTCCTCCGCACCGGTAACTTTTCAAGGAGCCTCATCATTGAACCCCCACGCGACTACATAAGGGCTTTGCAGCGGGGGGACCGATATGCTGAGGCCGAGGAAGTGGAGAAGTATCACCAGCATCCGGACCAGCAGCCCCCGAGGGCTGACAACAAGCATAACCGAGGGCCGGGGGCTCCTCCAAATCACCCCAAGGCTTCGGGACCCTCTGATGACCGCCCTCGACAAGGCCAAGCCAAGCCCGGGGGAGGTTATAAGAGCAACCCTAAGACTTGGACCCATCCCATTCTCCTGGACCGCCCTCGGACACCATTGACGCACCCCGTCAGCATCATCCTCGATTTTGCCGAGGAGGGGGGCCTCGTTGAGCGCGACTCTCGCGCACCCCCGGAGGTACACGCTATCAACCCTCAGTTCCCCTACTGTCGCTTCCATCGGCACCAGGGGCACAGGACCGATGACTGCCATCAGCTAAAGACGGCCATCGAGAGGTTAATACAAGCAGGGCACCTGTCCCAATTCGTCCAGAGCCCTCGGCAGGAGGGACCTTCTCATCAGGGACCTCCCCGAGGGCACCATACGAAGGTAAATGCCTGGGTAAATCCGAACACCATCCCCCTCGGCAAGAAGAGGGAGATCGGAAACTTGGATGAAGAGGAGGAGGAGTACCCCCACTACCAGGAGAAGAAACGCCACATCCTCATGATCACCGGTGGCAATACAGGGGGCGATTCCACCAGCCAACGAAAGAAGTGGGCTCAATCGCTTTACGTGGGGGAAGTCACTCATATGCCCCCGGTAAAGCGACTGAGGGAGGAACCCATCACCTTTACCAACGCAGATCTCCCTCCTACTTCTTCTCCACACAGGGATGCCTTGGTGATTCGGACGGAGATAAACGACACCATCATTCACCGAACTTACGTTGACACGGGCAGCTCCGTCAATGTAATGTACCTCAGCACCTTCAGAGAGCTGCATCTGGAAAGGGGGTCCCTTCGGCCCATTAAGACCCCTCCTACCGGCTTCACTGGCGACACTATTGATTCCGAGGGGGTAATAACCCTCCCGGTGATCTTCGGCGACGGGCTCCATAGAGCCCAGTTCGAGGTGGAGTTCGTCGTCGTCAACATTGACTGCGCCCACAACATCATCCTCGGCCGGCCAGCCCTCGAGGACCTCGAAGCCATCATCTCCATGAGGCA